GTGGCGGGCGCCTCGGCGCCGCGTTCGGCCGCGGCCTGCGGGCAGGAGGAGGCGCGGGCGGCACCACAGGCAGCGCTTGGCTGCCGACCGGCGCGGCCGCCGCCATTGCGACAGCGCACGCGGGTCCCTGCCTGCGTGCCTGACACGTGCTGCCCGCGCCGCCCCCTCACCTTGCGCCCGTTGGTGGCGGGCCGCTCATCCAGCAGCTGCGTGGCGGTGTTGTGCTCTGTGAGGGACGCAATGCCCTCCGTCCAGCCCTCGTGGTCCGCCGAAAGCTTGCTGGACAGTGGGTGGTACCCCTGGCGGTGGTGTGGAGGCTTGTGGGAGGCCATGGCTGGTACTGGGGGCCCGCTAGCTGGTGTCTAAGGGAGAAGGAAGGGCGACAGCGTGCGGATGCAGGCGCCGCTCAGTGTTGTCTTGGTAATCGAACCGCCTGCTGCTGCTGTTGCCGCTGCGCCCGGCACTGTAATCTTCGGCACTGGTGTCGTCGCTTAGCTACGTGTCTCGAGGCTCTGCAAGGGCGCGCGGGGTGGAGGCGACAGGCGGGGTGTGGAGTCCCTGTGCCCACGGCGGAGTCCCGCGCCGCGGCGGCAGGACTTGGCGTGGCTGCACACAGTGGCGCTGCTCCTGCCCTCCCATCACCCACCTAGACGCGCTGTCGGGGGTATACATAGCTTGCGGGGGTAGGAGGGCGAGTTCAGGAGAGCACCATCATTCGAGTGGGCTATTCCTGCAGCAGGCGGGCCTGGCGGCCCCAGAGGTCAGTGTCGGCAGGTGATCAGAGTGCAGGGGAGTGCAAGACGGCGATGCCGAGGGACGCTGAGAGCGGCGGGGCGGGGGTGACGGGGGATAAAACTCGCCTGGTTGCTGGCAGTGACGAGGCTCTGTAAAGCACACAAACGCTGCTTCCGATTGCTGGTGAGGGAAATGGGGAAAACCTGTGCTGTGTGCTGTGCTGCCAGCGCGCCTTCCATGGCCCAGGAGCGCTGCGGCTGCCACCATATGCATGCATGTCGCTGTCTGCTGCCAAGCTGCTTGACGAGGCCCCCACACGCTCCCCCACCCGCGCCGCCGGCATTGTTCCACCCCCGCCTGCGCCTCCCCTGCTGCACCACACAGCCCCCTCGCCGCGCCCATGGCGCCCCATGGCAAAATGCTGAGCGAGGAGGAGCAGGCCAAGGCCGTGGCCGCCTTTGAGACGCTGGGCGTCTGCACCCAGCTGGCGGAGGCGGCAGCGGCGCTGGGCTGGAAGAGCCCCTCCGCCATCCAGGAGCAGGCGGTGCCCCTGGTGCTGCAAGGTGGGTGCTCGTGACAGCCGGGGCGTGGTGGTGGCAGCTGCACCGCCACAGGGACAGACGCACGAGCGGTGATGGCGTGCGGGCTGCCTCCCGGGCTTCCGCCCGCCGCCGGCCATGCTCTGCTGCCCACTGCCGCCGCCGCCGCCTGCTGCGCAGATAAGGACGTCATAGGGCTGGCGCAGACGGGGTCCGGCAAGACGGGCGCATTCGCGTTGCCCATCCTGCAGGCACGGCCTGCCGCTGCTGCTCCACCTGACTCACCCGCACCCGACTCTCGCCGCCTGCCCCCCTTTCCATGCCGCTGCTGCTGCCTGCTGCCGGCCACCCACACCTGCCCTGCCCCGCCCTGCCCGCGCTGTGTTGCAGCACCTGCTGGACAAGCCGCAGGCTCTGTTTGCGCTGGTGCTGTCCCCCACGCGCGAGCTGGCCATCCAGATCAGCGAGCAGTTTGAAGCGCTGGGGGCGGGCATCGGCGTCAAGTGCGCGGTGCTGGTGGGCGGCATAGACATGATGGCGCAGGTGGGGGGCCGGCGCATGCGTGCGGGCGTGTGTGCGTGTGTGGTGGTGGGGGTTCAGGGCGGGGGG